GGATAATGAGTTATACCGCATAATCTCTAACCTGGGTTCCAGTAAAATCGCCAGAGTATTTAAAGTTCCCTCCTCATCGAGCACACGTCCTTTTCTTATGCACTCACTTAGTCTACCTGTCCCTTTCCCCCACCCCAACAGGCTGGTGTTGCCAAAAAAAACGAAGAGTAGGAAATTAAAAGAATTTTTGTTAAAAGCGCTTCAAGTGGGTACTACGATGTCGTTGTTGTTGTCGTCGTCTCCTGGCTTCGCAATCCATCCACCTGTGCTGCCAGCGAGTGTGTTCGTGTGTGTGAGTGTGTGTGTGTCTCTTGACTCGAAACACCTCGTGTTCTCATGGGTGTGTGTGTGTGAGTGTGAGTGGGGGAATCCCCCTTCCCTAGTGTCCCCCACCTGAACACGGGTGCAGTGACACGACGACAGCTTCGCGCTTTTGGCTTTGACGTTTGCTGCTTGATTTTCAGCTGTAGCTTTTAATTTTTATTTTAATTTTAATTTTTTGTCCGTTTTTTATTTATGTGAATAATTTGTGGGCGACTCGCGAGAGTGTGTGGGTGGTTCTTGTGTGCGAGCGCAATGTGTGAAGAGGCATGATGATTTGTTGGCTCTGTCTGTGACAGCCATTTCTGATTTGAGCTTTCCTGCCGCGGAATCCTAAAGGATTTTCTATGGAAAGCGATTTGCATATGACCTTTGATAATCCAATATGTGGTTTATCAATTGGCGGGCTTGGATGGTAAGTATAAAATTAGGAAATTAGCTTAACCTGATTCCTGATGATGTCACGCGGAATAAAAATGTCAGCTTACGTATGGAAAATATAGTGGTGGCTTGTTATTAATATATACTTATTAATAAAATATTTTAATTATTTATATATATTATGTATTCTGTTATGAGTTTTTAAAAGTAGCATTCAATGAATTAACAGACAATAAGAGTATGAAAATCAGTGTGTGATATGCAAGTCCTTCCGTGTCACTGCCGTATTTGCCCAAAACCATTTTTTGTGATTTTATTTGGATTTTAATTTTGTTGTGGCTTGTACTTGGCTTTTACATACTCCCCTTGCCAAACCCCCTCTACCTGAATATGCCACTCCCACCTGCGATTTGCCTCTGGGCCACTGCGATGCTTCGGTGCTTTGGTGCTACCTGGCTTAGCATTTTAGCGATGCATAATTAATCTGCGAGCAGAGGGGGTGGGGTTCGGAGGGGGAAGCCCACTTCCCTTTCACTCTATCATTCCCCTGCGCCACTTCAATAAAATATCTTTTATTTTATTTTTAGTGCAGCTTTTCACTGCTGAAAAAATGTTTTTCATGTATCTGATGATGCTCCGTTTTCGGGGGCATGGGGATGTAAAAGCGCAAAAATGTGACGGGCACGCTTGAGTGCGGCCCTCGTCGTCCCGTGTTTTTGGCCCTTAAACCTTCTTTCTTTTTGGCCAGAAACCCCCGGCCATGTTGTGTATTGTTTGTCAAACAACTTGAGGCCCGAGAGCGGCAGCAACTTCGCCCGAGCTCTTACCTGTGGCCGGGTTCTCCGATGGGGGTAATGACTTATGGACTACCCCAGATATATCTGACTCCGGTCGAAGTTTCAGCGTCTTAGGCAACCGTTCGGTTAGGAGTGGAGGGGTTAAAGGGTTTAGGGGGTTAACGGGAGGGATAAGCCATGCATGAGCGCCCGGACCATTGTTGCGTGGCCTTTTTAATTGGCCAGCCGGATGTCGGGTTAATGTTGCTGCAACTTCTTTCGCACATTTAATTATTCGCCGGCAACAAAACAAAGGCGAACGCATTACATTTTTAATTTGAGAGCGGAAGCGGGCGGAAAAAACTGCTTAATTTTCAGGAGTGTTTGCTTAGATTATTTCATTAAATTGACCAGAGACGCCGGCCAAAGGACAATGCCGGCTGGCTGGCCTTTGTCCAGGACAAAGCGTCCGAGAGAGCGCGGACAAACAACAGTGTTGGCGGGGAGCAAAAAGTTCGAGGCCAGACTCCCAGGACTCCTGCCATAAACGCCAAGGACTTTCGGCTTTCGGCTGCCGAAGGGGGTGGAACGTGCACTTAATTAAAGATAAGAATTAACTGCTGATTAGTAGTTCTTCTTTACACTTGACACTCTGCTCTGTCCTTCTGCTACTCCTTCTGGCAGTCCTTCTTGTAGTCCAAGTCCTAGTCCGAGTCAAAGTCCAGGCACGTACTCCTCGCGTCTTAGTCCTTGTAGTCCTCGTCTTCGTTTTCATCCTGGCTCCTCTGCCTAACGAGTTTTTATTTTTGTTTCCCAGTCCGCCGAAAAAGTTTACTTTGCGCTGCCTGCCTGGGGTTTTCAAAGACCTAATGTAGCCAAATGATTTATGCACTTGCCCAGACACAATTGGGGTGGGGATACGCACATGAACTGCGAGCTTCATGGGCGATAATTAAAGTAGCCATGTCTAGGCCTTCTTTTGATTTCACTGCCGAAAGTTGTTGGGTATTTCGGTTACTCTTTCAATTGAAATAAGGGGAAGTTTCTCTCTAACTTACCCTATAATGTGTTTGTATCAAAATTAGATATCTATCTTAAGTTATCACTAATTGCTGGTAATTTAAACTCATGACAGGGTATTTAGATGTACGACTATGGCTTACCTCCAGCTTTTGCGTATAATTTAATGCTCCTACGTGTTAATCACGGCAATTAATGTACGCCACCGCTCTGTAGTCCTCCTGCCTCCTCGGTTGTCCTTTGAACACATTCTTCAGTCCGAGACACAGATACGCAGTGGCAGAAACAGAAACAGAAACAGATACAGGAACAGACATCGCTGGCAGACACAGAACGAGCTGGAGATACAGATGCAGACTCATAAATATCGGGCACGTTCAACAACCCGAAGGAAAGACTTTCGTTGGCACTTGGCTTAAATGCCTCATTTTCCAGTCATTAAATTTCTTTGGCCGCACACTGACCAATTTCGGTGGCCATAAAATCTTGTAAAAATGTTGGTGGGCAACTCGCCTACTGGGAAACTACAATATGTTCGAGTCAACTTGTTATTGACTCTCTGTCTCGATGCGAGCAGGGCTTGAAATATGTTGACAATGGCGCCAGCAACAAAAGCTAAATATCAACACCATACCCACGAAAAACACAGCCCCCCATTTATGTTCTCAAATTTTGCAACCCCTCGAGGCATTTGACTTTTTGATATGCTTCCTTTTTGGAGGAATCAGCAAAAGTCCTTCGCTTTTTTCTATAGTTTTTTCCTTAACATTTCCTGGAGCAAATTGGGTGGGGGAGCGCGACAAATCAAAGCGTTACAAAGCTGGAAATGTGTGGAAAAGTTGCAGTGCAATTTATTATACGCTTTTGATTCTGTTTTTCTTGCTTTCACGTTGTTGCTGGCGCTGCGGAAATGTTAAATATTTGTTATTGCAGTCTAATGTTTCCGGCTTTGCGAAAGACAACAGCCAGCGACATATAAGATTCGGTGGTCGAATTGGTTATACTTTTTATGAACATTAAAGTTGGTTACAGAACATTTTTTTCTAATAAAACAATTTCTCGGAATTTTGCTACATTTTCTGTTAATTAGTTTGATGAACAGTATTTATCTGATATCTTTTATTTATAACTTTATTGTTTTCTTTTTTCAAATCCTTCAATCTCACTAATATACCCCATAAACCCTATCCAATATCAAAGCATTTTCTGGCAATGAAAACTATTAGCCCCAGTCATAAATCTTTAAGTCCGAGGTCCGAGGGCCAAGGGAATGAGGCCGGCGATGGTGGGCCTGGCCAAAAGCCGGGTTCGACTAACCGCACAAGAGACCACAAGAACCGAGCTCCATTTGGCTGGGCAGACTGTGGCCAAGTCAGGGCCAGACGTGGCACAATTATGACAATTTCTGATGCATAACGCTGCATCCATGGAGCTTTTAATGCAATAAACAAGCGACTGCAGCGTCATTAACACTGACAGGAATCGGGGGGGCGGTTCCGGGGCTCCGGGGGCGGGTGTGTAAAGATGCCAAGGAGCATTCCCGGCCTTTGTCGTGCACTAATTGTCTGCCCTGGCCGAAATGTGCAGCGCATGCATGCAACCCAAAGCAACGCAACGCATCGCAATGCATCGCAACGCTCCAATTCAGGTGTGTGTCAGTTGGCCGATGCAGCCACAAAACACTTTGCCGGCAATTGTCAGCTGGCAGTTGGGTACGCGTTATGGAGAGTGTTGCAAGGAGTACCACCTTGTCTATAAGGTACAACATTTGAAAGGGAAAATGCACAGACTACTAATTATAAAAATGTGCAAATACTCTACAAATACTGTTTTATTTGAAGCAAATTTCAAGAAGTTCATTTTAATTATCACAAAGGATTTTAGGTGCATTAAATATTTTTCAATATATGATTTTTTGTAAGATAAATGTATGTTATTTTTGATATATGATTCTATTTATATTTACTTATTTATTAATTTATTTATTGGGTCTAGACAATATACAATTGAGTGATTAAATGTACCCAGAAATGCCGTTGGGTACATCATCTTATTCTCTCACCATCACTGCCATCGAGTGGTAGTGCTGAGGCTGTTGCTGTTGCCAGTTGGTAGTTGTAGCCAAACTCACTTAGCAGCTGACAATGACAGTTCCCCTCACCTCCAAACCCTCCCCCCTCCCCACTTCACCGCCATTCAGTTCACCTGCGTTAATAGCCGCCTGGCAGCCAAGTGTCTGGGAAAGGCTTTGCCCAGTTGCCTAAGCGACATTGTCACTTGCGGTTGGGAGCTCCTTCTCCGCCTTCTCCGCCACCTCCGGCTGCTCCTGTTGCTGCTGCCGTTCGTCCTTTTCGTCCTGTTTGCGGCTTCTGCAGTCGAGTTGCCACTGGTTTATGGCAGGTTAAACAGCAACAGCAGCACGATGAAACCCGCTGCTGCGAAGTGATAAACATTCGCGCGTTCCGACACAAATCAATTAGCAATTAAATTGCGAACTCAAAGATGGCGAAGATGCCCCACGGCCATGCAACGAATACGCTGAATTTGCAACTGCAGCAGCAGCAGCAGCAGCAGCAGCATCCGTTGCTGTCAGCCATTTCGGGAAATAATTATGCGTAAGCCATGGCCAAGTGCACTGCGATTCATAGAAGCTGCCAGTTTGTATTATATTAGGATAATTTCTTGTGAAAAGAAAGAACAATAACAGAATACTCCAACCAGTGAAAGTTAATTGAATCGGAAGTTGGTTTATAATATTTCATCTATTGTATGTAAATATATTTATTCTATTAACCATCTGTAGAGGAATTAGGCTTTGCTCCATTGATTAATTGCAAGCAACAGGATTAAGTGCACCCTCTGCCTTTAAGATTATCTGATGAAGTGTCGGTGGCAACTCCCAGTGACCCCAAGCCCAGAGCAAAAAGGCCGCCGCAGGGGGTGGAGAATCCTGCTGCCGCAGGCACTTAGCATGGCTAATGTGGGACACAAACAGGAGCGGCGTCTCGCCACTCACTCCGCTCTTCCTTTTCCCTTCCTTTGCAGGCGAATGCAGAGCATGCATTACTATCCCAACCACTACTACCCGAGCCACTACTTCCCGGGCCATTACCACCAAGGGCACCAAGGACACCCGGGACATCAGGGGCAGCAGGGATACCAGTTGCAGCAGGGAAGAAACCCAATCCAAGCGGCCGCCAGCAGCCACAGCGGTGCTTATGCGGCCACCACGGCGGGCAGCGGACACTCTGGCTACGGGTAAGCAAAGAGCCACCCCTACACAGGGAGAAAATCAATAAAAAGAATTAAAAAAAAAACCTAACAAATATTTGGGGAAATATAAAAGCCCTTTAACTCAAAGAATAACCAACAATATGATATATTATTTAAATCCATCTATCCTAAGCATTTTAATCTTTCAAAAAATTTAAAAGTTAAGTTACCCATCCTACACTACTTTTTCTCTGTGTATGGGAAGGCAAAGTCAAACCGGAACGCCGAACAAACTCAAAGCCAAACCTAATGCAAGTTTCAATTCGCAGTAGCATCGAGCCGTCGGTGGAGTACGAGTGGCAGAACGAACCGCCCTCGGGCAGCTTCTCCTCCTTCCACCCGAGCAGTGCGGGCAGCGGGCCCGCATATCCGCCGCACCATCCGCCGCCGCAGCACCACCCCCAACCACCGCCACCGCCTCCGCCCACGAAGTCCTCGAAGAAATCGAAGAAGAGCGCCGGTTCGGTGATGAACGCACTGACGCTGCTCTCGTTTTTCTTCTTTGTGAACATGCTGCAGAATTGTTTGAAGGATCACATGAACGACATGAATCCCACCGTGATGGTGCTCACCGCCAGCGGGACGCGCAACCGCTTCAACAAATTGGCCGAGATGAACTCACGCGAACAGACCTCCACAACGGCCACCGAATCGGCGGCGGCGTCATCTTGGAATCAGGCGGCTCTGGTTCCGGCCGCCGTGCCCAGTGTCCCGCCCTCTATTGTTACGCCCACGGTGGTGCTGCAGTCGCCCTACAGCGCTGGCATTCCAGAGGTGGTGGTGGCCAATAAGCCCCACCAGCAGTCGCAGCACCCATCGAGTCCCCAGGGAAACCCCCATGATTATCGGCCCCACATCGTGGACGATGATTATAATTACGGGCAGCGCAGACCATCTCCGCCTCCACCTCAGACCGCCGGCGACTTTTATCCTAATCGCACACACATCGACCACTCGTCCCGGCCCGACTTTGAATCGGAGCCGGGCCACGATTACTATCAGCACCACTACAACCCGTATGCCGGCACGAGCTCCCATCGGCATCCTTGGTCTTATGGCAGGCAGCGTTACTCATCCGCACCGTGGTCTTCAGCTTCGTTGGGCGCTCAGTCGGGCGTGAGCTCTTACTTGGATAATGCCCAGCGCCGGCAAGGTGATGATGACGATGGTCATGGTTATGGCTATGGCTACGGCCATGGCAATAGGGATAGGGATAGGGATCGCAATGGGAATGGGAATGGAAATGGGGATTGGAATGGGGATGAAGACGAGGATGGTCAGCAACGGCGACGCGGCGATGCTTTCTACACTCGCACACGCATTAATTGAATGCAAGAATCCCGCGCACCATTCTATGTTGCAGAGCGGGGATTTGCAGCATTAACCCATTGCACAAAAACGGGGTGGAATAATGCAGATGAGCGAGAACTTTTCAACCGATTTTTTTAGCAGCGCTTGTGGCTTACAACTCTTCAATTTCTGGTGCACTAAAAACCAGTTTTAGTTTTTATTTTACGAGTAGTATTTAAATAGTAGGTATATATAGGTAAAATAAAATATATATTTAATTATAAAAGGTATTTCATAATATTAGCAAAAGCTTTAAATTTAAAAAGATTCTTTAAGAGGGTTAAAATTACTTTGCTTACATGTATTTATAATTAAAAGCAAACAACGCGCATAAGAGCTGACAAAAAATGAATGGGAAAACGCGGTGCGGCGGCGGCGAGGCAAACAACAGACAACCGGCAAGTTGGAGTCCTAATGAAAATAAATGCTAATTTGTTGCACAACAAATTAAGAGTGCCCCCGGTTGCTGGCTGGCGTTTGGCTAAGACTTTATTTTATTGCCTGCCACAGCAACTAAGTTGCAATTTCTCTGCAAGTTCTCTCTACCGTTCGTATCTGGTTTTCTAACTCAAATCTGTTGCAGTTCCTACCTAGCTCACTTATTTAGGGGATTGCGTTCTTGGCTCGCAGTAATCACGGCCAATGAGCCGCAAAAGCAAACTCGTGTTGGAATCAGAGAAAAAGGGGAGGAGGGGTGACTTTAATTAACACATTTAGCGCAATTTAAAATGCATTTTGCCATTTGCCGCGCGTGCACTACAAACAATGCTATCAATTTCAACAACTTTGATTAAACGTCATTTGCAGTTGCCCGTTCTTCTGTTCGCCGTTGCATGTGGCACATGGCGAGGGGCACAAAGAAGGGATCGGGCCAGTTGAAGCTGGCAATTGGCATTGTCAGCGCTTTGCAGCGCCGCTCCTCTTGCTTCATTTGCAATTAAATGCACGCAGCGACTGCAGTTGCAGTTGCCGTTGCATTTCGGCCTCAGCCTCAGTCGACACTCAAAAGCGTAATTTAAAATTCTCTTGGCTGCCATTTTTCGAGGCCCTTTCTTCGGTTCTTTGTGTCGGTGATGCGGCTGGTTGGAGTGCCGCTGCCAGCTTGCCACGCATCGCGACTGCCTCACTGGCACTCGCTGGCTGGCTGACTGACTGGCTCACGGCACGGTCCCCGGCACACGGTGCGTATGAGTTATGCAACGAGTGCACGGGGCAGGCAGCCCTCAGCCGGCAGCCACCTCCTCGCCAAATGAAGTTAATATAAATTTTTCTTTACAGCCAGTGCTCGGCGAACGTGTGCGGCTCCATATATTAAAATAAATTTATGACTTTAAGTGCAAAGTGGCAGCTAATGCGTGATTTTCGGGGGCAACTCGAGCACGTAATTGGCGTAAGAGCCGCTCACTGAGCCTGTGGTGCCCCAAAAAGGGATAATGGGCAATCGATTGGGTCGATTATAACCAAAGGAGGAGGATTGAAAGATATACATTAAGTAAATTAATTAACTGTATTACCAACGAACTATATCACTTCTTAAACACGTGATGAAGAACTCCAGCAAGATCCGCGATAAGCGCAAAATCGCACATTAATCCAACTCAAGCCAGACCGTAATGATTTTATTACTGCGCCAACTGCCCAGCTGAGATCATAAAAGTGAAAATTTTCATTGCCCAGCGGAGGTCCAGAAGGGGATTGCAGATGGTTGCTGGCTGCGTCTGACACATTATCCACAATTAAACATGCAATAAATTCACTTTAAACACGCATAAATTTATAATGTAAAGGACAGGTTTTTTCAGCGCCCAAACTCTCTCCTTTTTTGTAAATATTTTTTGTACCGTTTGTAGTTCATTAAAAAATAATTAAAAATTGTAATCGACGCAATTTTGTGCCTGCCTTTGCACAATTATTTATGCTCACATAAAGCACAAAATGAAAGGGCATTAATTTGCACTCGTGTCAACTATAAGTGTGCGGTAGATAAATTAAAAGTAAACAAGTGAATAAATTTTGCAAAAATTATTAAAGTTTCCAAAAGCAGAGCAGCGCTCTCTGGTTCCCAGGAAGATATTTCAGATTTTAGGTTTTCCTTACGCATGAGGCGAAGATGTTGAAATCCTTTCGCAGGACTGTCGAGAAAAGCAAGGGAAAAAGGGAAGAAACTTCGGGAGATCTCAGTGGTATTTTGCTACAGTTTTATATGGCAAACAATTACGGTAAGTAATTTATTTCTGCTCAACTGAATTAGAAATCTCTTAGCACTAAGCCAGTTTCCTGAGGGCTGTCCCTCCCCAAAACATCCCCTGTTTTTCCCCATTTTCCCAGACTGGCTTGTGTGCGTGTCTGTTTATGAAGATACAATAAGATATGCAAAGAAAATTAATAGTACTACATTTTTTACAACACTTTTGTCTCGACTGCTGGCGCAGCTAGTGCGATAATTCATTGCCTGCCTGACTCCTCCTTGTCCGTCCTTGTCTGTATCGGTGTCTCCGTCTCTGTTTGCCCGCCACGCACTTCCTGCCAACTGACTCCCTCTCTTCTCTCACTGCACTGGAGAAAAAGTTGATTTAACTTGATTGAATAATTGGTTAAGCTTACTCTAAATAAGAAAACTGTAGATTTATAAAGATTGCAGTAAGCATTTTCTTTTAGTTTTTACATCATTTAGTTTAGTTTTTTTTAATGGTTTAACTTGTTAATATTTTTTATCAGTGTATCTCCCCCACTCCCATATTGCCGTTACTTTCGTGCTATAATCGGCTTAGTCTGCGCTTACGGTTTGCTTTTTGCATTGCCTGCGCACTTGTGTGGGTGAATTGTAAGGATATAGTGGATATTGTGGATGGGCGGGGGGCGGTTCGGGGTCCTCCGATGGAAGTTCCCTTTTATGCTCGCTCTGTCTATTTTGCGCCAAAGGTGTTAAGTTGTTATTTTATTGCATTTTATTTCATTTAGCTGGGGTTCACACAGCCTTTCCTTGCTTTTTGCGAGCAAGAACACGAAAAGAGTATTATGACTTTATTGTTCAATTGGCAAGGAGCTGGCAGCCGAAAAAGGATTCCCTTTCGGTCTTTAACTGGCGTGCAGATGGTGGCAAACTAGAATCCTTTGTACATCCGTTTACCTGTTCATTTCCAATAAAATCAATTTGCCTGGCTCAAGCCGATGCCTAAAATCTTTGCAGATTTTAATTTGAAAAGGATAAGCGCTTAGCTCTTTACATCAAATTTATTTTGCATTTAAGGTAAATAACCAAATTAAGCCTGAATAATTGCTTTTTAAATGCATTTAAAGAAGTAGTAAGGATTTCCTAGTATGTTTTTAAGTGCCAAGCTTTTGTTTTTATACCCGTCACTTGTAAAGTAAAATGGTATACTGAACTTCATTGTTATATTTGGATTCTACTCATAACATTCAACGAATTGAGCAACAGCCTTTGGACGATATCTTGAAAACATTACGTATACGAGCTAGAATAATTGAATTTCCCATTTTCTTCGTTTCCGCGTTTTTTAGTTTCTGCGTGCGTGAATTCTTGGCTAAGTGAGTCATTTTGTGGCCTAAACCATTAAAGCAAACACTCGAGGGAGCCGCCATTGCCACGTGCCTGGACTTGGCTTTCCTTGGCATGCTTCATTTATCACACAACCAGTAAAATGTGTCAACGTTGCATGCAGCGGTTGCAGTTGCCACTTGAAGAGCCATAATTCATAGACAACCGCTCTCCCTTTCCCTTTCCCTTTCCCTCTTCCAACAGCCGTCCGTCTCTCTCGCACTCGAGTTGGTCACATAAATGTCACTGCATGTGGCACAATTGTGTCGCAATCGTTGTGGCGAATAAACACGTCATAAACCGTTGGCTATCTTCCGTTGCCCTCTGGAGGGCCTCAAGTGCACAGGGCAAAATATATTTTGTGGCCTACAAAGCTGCACATATATTTTTAACAACATATTTTTTAGTCACTCGAGTAACTTTAATAACTTGACAATTAAAAGTAGATTTGTTAGAACAAAATCTGAAAAAATATAGCGTTCTATGGGGGCTTTACTTTTGTATTACACATGTCATGCGAATTTATTTGCTGAATATGTGTGAAATTTGGTGTTGCATTCATTGTGAGCAGTACAATGCAGTACAGTGCACTGCTTCACTGCCCCGATTTTGTATGTAGGCTGACCAACATCCAACATCCAAAATCCAACACAAACACCAAACCCGAAATGAAATAAAAACATGTGACTCGCAGCACTTGCAATTCAATTACACTGTCCGAAACGGAGTCGTATAAATACTCCAGTGGCGCACACATGTAGAGATAAAATATCTATTAATGGCCATAGATTGCTCGGGTTTAAGCCAGCTACAAATTCAATGTGTGCACACAATTCAGAGCCAAATGGGATTTTGGTCGAACGGCTGGCAGCGAGTGTAAGCCATGGCCAAAACGAGAGCAGCAGCAGCAGCAGTTGAAGCAGCAACAGCAGCAGCAGCAACAGCAACCGAATCGAGTAAACTTTATGTGCATGTTAAGAAAAGTGCTGCAGGAGCGACGGAGACTTGGACCAAAGGCACACGGAAGTGAAAACGTTTCACACTCCAATTGCTGCTGCACACCTCCCCTCTCCCCCTTCCCCTTCCCCTCCCCCTCTCCCCTTTCTCCTCCCCCTTCTCCACATCTCCTATGGCTCCTCTCCATCAGGACTTTCCCTGTGCTGGCCCAGCTTTTTTGCACTTTCTATCGTTTTGGCAAAGTTTACGCTGGGACAGCAGGCACATAAAATAGTTTTAAATAAGAAAAGGCGAAAGCAAATAAACAATTCCATTTTTCTGCCACAGTTGGGGCGCAGGAAATCTGCGGTGGAGAGGGGAAAGGGGGCGGGGCACTAGGAGGCGAGTCGGGAACACACACAATGAATGTAAGGCCTTGGCGCATGAAACTGAAAATATTTCGAAGCATTCTTTCCAGGGCCTGCATTGGCACACTAACACACACACACACACTCACACGCATAGAAACTGACTTGTGTGCGTGGCGACTTCCGTTTTAGTGGCCGTGTGAACTATTTACATGCACACACAGGAAGGAGCGACTACTGAAATATTTAAAGTTAACTTTAAACAAATTCGTTATGAGCTAACTGAGTGGCTCAAATACTTGGGGGGATGCCTGCGTTAAAATTTACTCCACTGACATTTTCGGGACACAAACGAAATTTAAATACGGCCATTTGTAATTAAATTGACTTTTATCAATGCGTTCATTTTGCTCGTTGTTGTGTCGGTTTTGTTGTCCATTTTGCGAGTGTGTGTGTGTGAGTGGGCAAGTGGCAGCGAGAACCAAAAATTATGCAACTGCAACGGCGCGCCGGTGCAACAGCTGTTGACACATGCCGCCAGTGGCCATTGTTGTACTGCCAACACCACGGCTGACAATGGCTGACAACGCAACGGCCTTTGCACCACCACAGCACCACACCAAGGCACCAATACACCCACACACTCTCAACCATTTTGGTCCGTGTTAATGGCGGCGCCACAACAGCGTATAAATGCCATTGAGATTTGCCTTCATGCAATTTTAACGCTTCGGGGCACACGCACACAAAGATAGAAAGTGGACGAGGTACGGAAAAGGGAGATGCGGAGAAAGCGGGAAAGAGAGAAAGGGGGAAAGGGATGTGGACACACAACACACATTTTGCCCAATTTATGACTTTATTTTAATATAATGTCAAATGCTATTTGCCAAGTGTCCATTTCAATTTCGATTTCCATTTATGAATCATTTGGAAATGCACTGCTGAGAGGAATTCGGCAGCATTTTTGGATATGTTGGGTATACTTTTTTTTTATTTTCAGCCACAAAATGGTTCATTATAACGCCGTCCCCAATGCTGTGCTGTTGCTGAATTCTGCGGTTGCCTAAACCGTTTCCCAAGCCAGAGTAATGAAAACAAATAGCAGGAAGAGAACTTGTTCATTTAAACTTAAAGATTACCATTAAGGATACTTTTTAGATAGTAAACATTTTACTAATTTATATAATTTTCTGTGCCTAGGATTGCAAAGATCCTCTTGAAACAATATTTCCTCTTTTAATTATACAACTAGAAACATTTATTTTGCAAAGAAAAAATCTAAATTTATGGCACTTTAGCTTTTTGTAATGAAAACACCATTCAAGTGTGGCGATTGAGGAAATATTTATATGCCCCACTTTCGCTGCGAAATTAGGGTATTCGAATCCGATTCACGAACGAAATTGGAACGCCGGCGACAGGCTGCCATTTGCATTTGGTCCAGTTCATTTCAGCAGTGGCCATAGATGGCCGGCATCTAGGCATAAAATCTATTATAAATAACATTTAGAGTGAACCGACGGCCGAATGCTGGGGTTTTGCATTTGTCAGCGCTGGAAATTGGACCGAAAACGAACATACATAAAAATATATATGTGCGTACTATATGGATATCAGACAGAGGAAAACACAAATTGCGGTTTCTAAATTGAACAGCGAGGGTTTGCTGGTGTGAGAGTGTTCGACGGAGTGTCTCTGTGCGCGACGCATAATCAGATTTGTTTATTCAATTTTTCATGAAATTTTCTTCGTTTTTTTTTTGTGCGGTTTTGGGGCCGCACAGCTGATTGAGTGGCAATGACACGAGACAGCTCGAATGGGACAATATTGTAACATTAATGCCATAAAGCTAGGCGCGCAATTCAATTTGATTTTTGATTTATCCACTTTCTATAAATAATATACTAAATGTGTGGAAAACCAATAAAGTCATTTGAGTATCAGCTCTCCTCGGTGCAATTAAAGAGCTTTAAAGAACCCATATTATGCTAAGCTGGCATGCAATTAGCGGTGAATGATTGCCAACTGTCATAATCGGCCTCAATTGACATTCCGCTGAATAGTGCCTCGCTCAATCGGCATAATGAAAACAGCGTGCCGTGCTTCAATTAACATTCTCCCATGCCCCGGCAATTATCGGTCCGGTCCTGTCCTAATTAACGTTTCATAAACTGTAACGGGGCGGATTATGGGCATTACGTATACGACGTGTGTCGGCCAAAGGGAAATTAATCAAATTAGCATCGTTAAGCCAAAGCGAGCGACTTGCGATGCGCGGCCAACAATTGCTAAATGTAAACAATCATATGTGAAATAACAAAATACAAAAAATATAACCGGCGTCGGCGACCGCAACAAAAACAATTAAGCAAAATGGTCATAATTACAGCAGCACAAATACAGACAAACAATTGCCACAAATTGTGACAATTTGCCGCCTGATTAATGACTGTCTGTGGCTCTCCGCCAGACAAAACCAGCAGAATGCCAGTCGGACAGATGTGAGATTATTTGCGGTAACATTTTATGGCCATCAATGGAAAGCGATATTCTCGGAAAATGGCAAAAAACTAAATCACTTCACTCAGTGATCTTCACGAAATTCTCTTTTTTCTGGTGTGTGTTGTATTATTTTTTCCAAAAAAACGATGACTTAACTTTTAATGATTAAGATGTTTTTCTTTGAATCAATATAAATGTTTTCATCGATAAGTTTTGTTTTTTTTTTTTTTTTAATTTTAATTAAATGATTTAATCAACATTATCAAATCAACCCTTAAAGTTTTCAGGCCTTAAAAAAAAAACACACACAAGCAACTAGAAAACTTATTAGGTTAAGTACATCGTTGGATCTTTTTAAAGACGGACAGCTGTCGATGTAGAGTAATCATTGACTTGAAGGTCTTATTAGAATAAGTGCAAATTTTCTTCCATCGTTGAATTATGAAATACACCTAAGAGTCAGTTGCTTCTTAACTTCATTGGGCAATGGTCTTAAAATAAAAATACCAGCAATGAATAACCTATCGAAGACTTTGCTGTTTCTCCTTCTAAGTCAAGTTTTTAGTATGGAAAATCATCATACGCAGTTCAAGACTATGGACCAATTAGTTGATATAAGTACAAGCGTGAAAAAAATCACAACGGTTTTCATGCTTCAAAAAAGTGGAGCTAATTGTACAATTGAAGACTGGAGACCTCAGGGGATTACCACTATACGATCGAATGGTCTCAATAGCTTCAAATTGAGAAAGTACTTCAGAGTCACCGAGTTACTCGCTGTGGTTTGCATAAGCCAAGATTCCGATGTAAAGCTCCTCAATTCGTTGGCCTTGTTTTATGAGTACGTGCGGCAGGAACGAATAATTTTATGGATGCAGGTAAAAGCCACAGAAGCCATTCTGAAGGAAGTTGCTCGAATGGCTGAGATGCATTCATTTCTCCGGCTTGTTGTGTTTGAAATGGGGAATTTCAAAAACGGAACATCGAACGTGTATCACCTAAAACCTTTTCCCAAGCCACACTTTCAAAGAGTCGGGAACATTTCCGACTTCAAGGGAGTATTCATTGATCCCAGTCTCAACTTTCAAGGAAAGACGGCCACCTTAATACAAAAACCGGGTTCTCTGGTCCATTACAACGTTTGCTATGAAGCTATGGGATGTTTTCCAGTAATGACAGAAGAAGACAAGCAAGTGCTTGAGTTCGCTCGTAAGACCAACTTATCTTTGAGGCTTTCCCTGGGAAATATTCGCGATTTAATCGCCGAAAACTACGACTTGCAGATGAGCCCGGGACTTGTTTCCACACAGGATGCTAAGAAGAGTGCAAACTCCTTCACAATCGCTTCGGTGATCGTCGTGGTGCCCTGCGGCAAGCAGAGAAGCCTTCGGGATGTCCTCAGGCAACTGGATTTCAAGAAGTGTGCCTTGTTTGTCCTGCCTGTTTACATTGCATTCGTGGTGGTGGAAGGACTGATGCGGGTGGTAACCCTCCGAATGAGTGGACAGACGCATCTTCAACCCTTTTTGAGGTCTCTGATAAATCTCCGAGCGATCGGTGCCATCCTGGGCCATTCCATTGCCATCCAGAGCAGGTGGAACTTCTCACGGCGCCAGCTCTTTTTGGCCCTGAGTGTATTTGGATTCGTTTTCAGTAACTTCTTCGCCTGCAAGCTGAGTGCCCTGCTCACAAAGCACTCTCGGCTGGCTCAGATCCAGAACTTCGAGGAGCTGCGAGCCAGTGGACTCCCCGTCCTAATCGATGAAGAACTGCTGAACTTTATTAAAAAGGAGTTAGAGGAAAACTTCATAGAAAAGCATATACCAAATGTCGTGGGTGTAACCAGGAAATTTAAAGATGAAATGATAATACAGTTCAACGACAGCTTTGCTTACGTTTTCTACAAAGAAGAGTTTTATATTCTGGACAAGTACCAAAAGCATCTGGGCCACAAGGTGTTTTGTGAGTCATGTAACCTGACCATTGTCTCCAACTTACCGAAAATGTTCTATCTCAAGAGAAACTCTCTTTATATGAAGCCCCTGCGAAAATTTGTACAAAAGGTCCAGGAGTCGGGCATAAACTTGCATTGGAAAAGGGAATTCCTTTACATGGCTGAAAAACATCTCAACATATCCAGAAACCGAGGGATAACGAGAGAAGGTCGTCTCTCTTTCGGAGATTTCGAATGGCTCTGGTTTCTTCTACTCTGCGGCTACGGAATTGCCAGTCTGGTGTTTTTAATCGAGGTAACTGTTGGAGGTAACTAATGATGATGTCTCTAAAGCTTAGCTACACCTATTTAATCATGAAATAATATTGTGTTAAACACTTGTTCGCTTTAATAAAAACTACGCCTAAATGTGTCGCTTAATTTAAACAGCAAGTTCAAGATTTTTTTTTGCTTAGGCCCAAAAATATCAGCACTGTGATCTAAAGTAGGTCATTTCTAAATGGGTAAATGTCATTCAGTAGATAAGAGTCAACTCTAAAGCTTTTAAATTAATCGAAAATACAAGAACTTGAACGAATGACACTTGTTCATTACGTTAATGATTTCGATTCAAATCGTCAAGTGATAGCTGTCATCTGAGGCGCAACTTCCTCTTTTCGTGTGCTGAGAAACTTAGTTCATTTTAGGACCTGCTTGGAATCAGTTCAAAGGAAACTTCATATCAGCCCAAAAATGATGCTTGCAATTCTGGTGATTCTCCTTGTGAGTCAAGTGCACATCGAGGCGTCGAAGCAAGTTCAGTTCGAGTACTTCAACGCCCTCATCAGGAATATTGAAAAGGATTATTCAATTAGGACAATGGTCATAATTCAGCACCAACGAAACCGCAACTGTTCGCTGCAGGATTGGAATCCCCAGGGGTTCCCTGTTCTGCGATCAACTGAGGTTGGAGGATTCCAGTTGAGGGGAACCTTCAATAACAACGCAGTGGCACTCGTCTGCATCGGAGATTTGTCCGATATCAAGCTGCTCGATATAGTTGGAGTATTTTTTATGAATCTGAGGCAAGAGCGAGTTATTCTGTGGATGCAATTTGAACCAACTGAAAAGTTTTTCAAAGAGTTAGCCATCCAGGTTAGCAGGCTAAAATATGGTCGAATTCTTGTACTGCATATGAATGGCAATGAACCGATTTCTTTCCACCGCCTGCGCTCTTTTCCCACTCCACACTTTACGCGAATCGAAAACATCTCCCATCCCGAGGGCTCACTTTTCCACGAAAAAAATCTCAATTACCAAGGAAAAACGGCTGTGGTGAAGCGAACCTCAAAGGTGTCCCTTCGAGTCGAGGAAAGGGCATTTCTTGAGTTTGCCTCCAAGTACAATTTGAGCCTAAAGTTCATAGACGAAGATGATAGTAGTCCGTTTGATATTCAGCTGACTTCCCGATTTCTTAGCAAAGCAGAGCTGGCTACTTATGTGGGCCATTTGAGTCCGCGGCTCTCGTCGTCCTTGATTACAGTCGTTCCCTGCCGCGAAGAGAAGAGCATCAAGGAAGTCTTCAAGCAGCTGGACCTTATGAAATGTCTGCTCTGCATTATCTGCGTCTACGTTCTACTGGTCCTGGTGGAGACCTTTTTGCAGTTGGTGACCGATCGGATTTCGGGCCGGGCTTACACCATTCGCAGTATAGGTTCGTTGGTGAACCTGCGAGTTTTTCGCGCCATTCTGGGCATGCCCTTTCCAATCCACAGAAGGGCGTTCTTCTCGCTCCGCCAGCTCTTTTTCGCCATGAGCGTTTTCGGGATGGTGGTTAGTAGCTTCTTCGGCTGCAAGCTAAGCGCCATGCTCACAAAGCACCCGTTAAAGCCGCAGGTTACCAATTTCGAGGAGTTGCGGGCCAGCGGACTTACGGCTCTCGTTGACATAAATATGAAACCTTACATCGAGAACGAAATCGATCCGCAGAAGGTTATGACTAAGGTCGAGTTTTTGAACACTGTGGAACGTTGGTATCATATGTTTAAATTGAAGGACAGGTACGCCCATGTATTATATGTAGAATCCTTTTCGTTCATGAATATAATGGAGGCAAGTGTACCTTATTGCACCTCCAAGGACCTGGAAATCATACATAATAGCCCCAAGATTCACATCCAGCACAACAACTCCATATACATCTGGCCGATGTCCAGAATTTTGATGTGGGTCTATGAGTCAGGCATTGCTGAATTGTGGACGAAACAGGTCCCACAAACGCTGAAGTCACACCTCAACATTACCGATCAACCAAAAAAGAAGAAAACGGCCATTGCCTTGACCTTTCATCAACTCAATTGGCTGGGATTTGTACTGCTTTTCGGTTATGGTTTTGCCACTGTGGCTTTTCTAATCGAACTGTTTGTTGGTCATAGAAGTCAAAGACAACGGCAACCACAGCTGGAATTTTTGCCATAAATCGGATACAAAAAAGAACTTGGCAATCGTCCTGCAACTTTAAGAAAAGAGTTTAAGCACATTATCCGCTTATAAACACCCAATTCTACTTTTTGCAAACATATAATATATGTGTAACAATGCTTTTTAATAAATCCCACTTTACTCTTCTCAAGCAGGGCAATAGTTTTTATTCAAATTGAAGTGGTATTGTTCTAATATTAATCATGTGAAAGTGCAGCCTGAGTAATGCACTCTTCTTAACGTAATGAGTTTCCTTTCTCTTAATCGACTGACAGCTGTCATCTTTGCAATAACGCACTCCGCTAAGTATTTTTCTGGTGGCACAATTTTTCCACAAGTTTTCCATGCAGTCTTTTTCCTTCACTACCAAAAAGTGGTCAAGCAACATGGACCTACCTAATAGGATCACAATAATCACACTGTTAATGACTTACTTGAGTCGCGGTACCAGCGAGAATATGGAGCTGGAATTTCTCAGCAAACTGGTTCACAAAGTTCATGGGGAGAGTCCCCTCGAAACGATGTTGATCCTGCAACATAATCAAGCTTGGGACTGTGCACTGCGAAACTGGAACCGACCTGAAACCCCAACTCTGCGCTTGAACCAGCTTGAAGTAGTGAAGGTTAGAAACCAGTTTAACCATAAGACATTAGGCCTGGTTTGCATCTGCAAGGATTCCGATACGGAACTTCTCCACAACATGGCATCCAACTTCGATCGGATGCGAGATGAGCGAATTATTCTGTGGCTTCAAGTCAAGTTGACCCCCAAGATGCTTCGTGTGATTTGCAATCTAGTGGAGGAACACCACTTCGTTCAAATGTTAATCCTGGAGGTCAGAGTTCGGCCGAAGAGAACGATAATTGTTAGGCGCCTGGATCGCTTTCCCAGTCCACACTTTGAACGAATCGGCGATGTTTTCGCCCTCGAAGGACCAATCTTTAATTTGAATATCGTTAACTACAAAGGCATGGCCATAAAAGTGATGCCTAATTGGGAGGCGTCCACCAAAGCCAACGTTCAGATGTCCCCCAAAGCAGTTGTACCCATTACCCGAGTTCAGGACCTCGGGGTTTTGCAGTTTATCGAAGGACAAAATCTGACCCTCAAAGTCTTGCCGGATCCCAAAAATGTAACTGTTGGCCCATCTGAACTTCCCGACATTCAACTGAGCACGCAGGTTCACCTCACTATGTCGGGCTTGAAGAACTGGAATCCTTACGACATGGCTGCGTTGATGGTTATTGTGCCCTGTGGAAAGGACAAGAGCATTGATGAAATGATCAGGCAACTGGACGTGCAGTCCTGGCTGGTGTACGTCATGTCGGTCTATGGCATCTTTGTGCTGGCCGAGACCTTCATCATAATGGTTACCTACAGGATGTCCGGCAAAGTCTACCGATTGACCAGCTTGAAGCCCGTCCTGAATCTCCGCGCCTTCCGTGCCATTCTGGGAATGTCGTTTCCCATCAACCGCCGCTCAAGTCTTTCGCTGCGCCAGCTCTTCCTGGCCATAAGCGTTTTCGGATTCGTCTTCAGCAGCTTCTTCAACTGCAAGATGAGCGCTCTCCTCACCCACTACGGTAAACACCCCCAAGTTCAAACCTTTGCGGATTTACGAGACAGTGGATTGCCCGTTATCATAGGACCGACCTTTAGGCCTTTTTTCCGAACTGAAGCTGGATTGCATTTCCTGGTTGAGAACTTGACAAACGTAAAATACATGGACCAGCGTACACGGTTTGGCATGCTGACCTCTCTAAACGACAGCAACGCTTATCTTATATATTCTGATTATTGGGAAGTGACGGAAAAGTACCAGGAAATCTATGGTCGGAAGGTATTTTGCAAGTCCGAATATCTAACCATCATCCAGAGCCTGCCCATGACGTACATCCTTCCGAACAACTCTGTGCTTGAAGTAGGACTCTTCAGATATATGTTGCGTTTCCAAGAGACTGGTTTCCCAATCCATTGGATGAACCAATACCCCTACATCCTAAAAAAACAATTCAACCAGCCTGCCTTGGCAAACAAAAATCGAAACATACGTCCCCTCACTGTTTTCCATTTCAAACTGGTGTGGTGTATTCTGGGATGTGGATATGGAATCGCAATCATTGTTTTTATGCTTGAGATCTCTCTAGGAGGACGAAAGAAAAGACCCGGAAGAGTAATTGCAGTGTAATAACATTGGATGTCCTACAAACTTTTTCAAATTATTATGTGGTCTTTAGCAGCACGAGTATTTTATTGTCTTGCACCTAATACCCACCTATTATTCAAATTAATAAATGCAATGCAATGAATGCAAGATTTTCCTCTAATGCGTTGTACAATTGATGGGAGCTTCAAGTTCTATATCTTAAGTGAATTAAGGAGATTAACTTAACTCTAAGGTTGAGTTCTTCATTCCACTTATCCTTTTAAGTTAATGACTTGTCCTTGGTCTGACTGATGTCACCTGTCAATTGGCGGACTCAAAACTGGACTACTGCCACTGTTTCTTGGCTCAATTACTCGCTGCCATTAGTTCACTTTCAACTGGATTGGACATTAGAGCTAACAACCTTAAATTCACTCAGCAATGCCGCTTAAAAGGTTTTTGCTCATTCTGGTTCTCGGCCAAATTATGGCAAAGGAGTTTGCGTGCGAGCAGTTTTCGTTTCTCGATGACCTAGTTGAAAAAGTTGATGCTGAGGAAACCCTCAACTCGTTGTTGGTAATTCAGCACCACCAGAACAAGAACTGTTCCCTTCAGGACTGGAACCCTCTGCGTTTTCCCATAATAAGAGTCAGTGAGTTGGTCAATATGAAGATACGAGGAGTGTTCAACTCCAAAACAATGGCTCTGGTCTGCATCCGTGGCTACTCCGATCTCGAACTGCTCGACAGAGTGGCAATGATATTTAAGGACATGCGATACGAACGAATAATTCTTTGGATACGATATAGGCCCACAAGAAAATTCTTCAAGCAAATCATCAAAAAGGCCAATCAGTTTAAATTCATTCGGGTTCTAGTGTTGCAGGTAGGCGATCATGAAATAATATCGTCTCATTACCTGAATTTGTTCCCCAGTGCACAATTCAAGAGAATTAATAATATATTGACCGCCCGCAAAATCTTTGATTTCTCTTCTGATTTTCGTGGAGCAACGGCTCTTGTGAGGGATCCCACGGAAATGAATCCCTTTAAAACAAAGTCCACGCCAACTGGCATCAAACCTTTTTTTCAAATTGATGTCATGCAAATGGAGGAGTTTGCCCGTAGGCACAACCTAAAGCTAAAGTATCTGGAAGGAAACGGGACACAGAACGAACCCTTCGACATGGAGTTGCGCCTGAAGCTCATTGGCAAGAATAACTTGTCTTCTAACTTGGGTTTCGTAAATCCCTCCAGTTCGTCCTCTCTGATCGTTATCGTGCCCTGTGGCGAAGGAAAGAGCTTAATCGACATATACAAGCAAATGGACATCAAGAAGTGGTTCGCCTACGTCCTGGTGCTATACGTCATTCTGATCCTGGTCGAGAACTTCGTTCTGCTCGTGACCTGTCGGATCAACGCCCAGTCCTACCGGCTGAGGAGGGAGAACTTCCTGCTGAACCTCTGCGCCTTTCGGGCTCTTCTGGGAATGTCCTTTCCCATCAGCCGGCGGGCCAGTCTCTCGCAAAGGCAGCTCTTCCTGGCGATGAGCGTCTTTGGGATAGTCTTCAGCAACTTCTTCAGCTGCAAGCTGAGTGCCCTGTTCACCACGCACCCGATCAGGCCTCGGGTGACCAACTTCGATGAGTTGCGGGCCAGCGGACTGGTCGTAACTGTGGATCCTCTAACTCGAGGCTTCATAGAGAACGAGCTCGATGCCGAATTCTTTCACTGGGTTCTGCCACGGACGGTGGTAATGAATAATATGGAGCGGTCCAGGCTGCTGCTCTCGTTCAACACCACCTATGCACACATTATTTACCAGGAGACTTGGAGGTACATCTCTTCTTTCCAGCACAACATGGATCGCCAGGCCTTTTGCACCTCCAAAGATCTGACGATCGTCGAAAACCTGCCGAGAGCCTTTGTGCTGCAGCAGGACTCCCTCTTCCTCTGGCCGCTGACCAAATTCCTGACGCTGATCCAGGAGGCTGGCATAACCATACATTGGGCCAAGGGAACCTTTCACGCCACAAAGAAATTTCTCAACATAACATATCCCGAAAGTTTCTGGTCGCAGGCAGTTCCCATTCAGGTCGAACATTTGACATGGCTCGGATACTTACTTTGCCTGGGTTACGGACTAGCCACTATCGTTTTCATCATCGAGAGATTCTACGGAGCTAGGCGTAATATGAATTAATATGCACATGATATTTCATCCAGTTCATTGATAAATGTTTTTCTGTTTATTACTTCTAACTAATAAATGTTCGTGGTCAAAGCAAAACCAAAATTTTAATCGTTTTACATGTTTTACATAATCACAAGGAGGTGCAAAAACAGTAGAAATGAATTAATTTGATGTTAAGTTAATGAAGTTGCCCTTACCACATCCACAACTTACCACAATGCGTCATCCAAATGGTCAGCTGTCGACTGATAAGGGCTTGAAATTAGAAAATTGAAACTAGAAGAACCTGAAAATTAAAAGTAGGTTAGTCCGACTTGTACTTTCTTTTGCATAGGTATAAAATGGTAAACCCATACGGGCTAAAATCAAGCAATATATTGCTGGTGCTCCTATTGTTCTGCGCCCAAACTGCGGGAATTGAAAATCCCAGAGAACGGTTTCTGGATGATCTACTTAATTCAATTCACAATGAGCGTTCAGTTGACACCCTGTTTTTACTGCAGCAAAGTGGAGACCCAAACTGCTCCTTTCAGGACTGGAATCCACGAGGAATTCCAACTCTTAGGGCCAATGAAAAGAGCATATTAAACATAAAGAAATACTACAACGACAACGCATTGGCCCTGGTTTGTATAACGAAGAATTCCTTCCAAGTTCTACTGAATATTCTGGCAAGGACATTCGATGGCATGCGACAGGAGCGAATAGTGCTAATGATTCCACATAAGCCAAGTTCAGATTTGATAAAAACCATCTCTCGGAAGATCGAGCACTTACAATTTTTGCACATGATATTGCTAGTTGTCGAGGAACCTTACAACACAGAATTTCCCGTGACCGCCCATCGAATGAAACCTTTCCCGGAACCTCATTTCAAGAGAGTTCGGAACTTGTTTTCTGGCACGAAGATTTTCAAAAAGCCAGTGAACTTTCAGGGAAAGGTTGCCAGTGCGATCCGCGACAGGGACTTTTCGCCGTACAAGTTCACATTAAATTTAGTTACGGCTTTTTCTCGAAAATACAACACAACCATTAAACCACAGAGGTCAGTAAACCAGAAGAGAAATAAAACCCGCAAGGAATACTTCGACATCGATATGACCATGGTTATGAACGATAGCAAAAACTTAACGGGATACGTAAACCTCATAGGGGTCACCGCCACCTTGATGATTGCGGTGCCATGTGGCAAGGAGCTAAGTAGCATGGACATCTTCAAGGAGGTCGGAATGGGAACAGTGGCCTGGTCAGCGTTGATTTTCTACATCCTTTTCGGTCTGGTGGAGTCTGCATTCGTCTACCTATCGCCTCCCAAAAATGGCAGAAAAGTGAGCGTAAAGTTTATGAACCCTTTGGTGAATCTTCGAGCATTGAGGGCTCTTTTGGGTCAGTCCTTTCCGGTCTCCAATCGATACGGTCTCCCAATCCGACAACTATTTCTATTGATGAGTCTGATGGGTACACTCTTCGGATGTTTCTTCGGCTGCGAACTGAGCTCCTTTCTGACCAAAAAACCCCTTTACCCTCAGGTTAATACATTCCCGGAGTTGCGCGAAAGTAATCTAACCATCGGAGTGGACAATCCAACTCGCTACTTTATAGAGCGGGAACTCGATAGGGATTTTTTTAGAACAGAAGTGCCCAATATGAAAAACTTCACATTTACTGGGTTCACCAAGCTCGTCGAATCATTTGACATGAACTTTGGACTACTAGTGCACTCGCAACCTTGGAACGCTTTGAAACAAGAACTGGAAGTGTTGAACAAGAAAATGTATTGCGACGCCAAGGACCTCACAATAATCCACAATGTGCCGCTAATGCTCCCCGTTCGAAAGAACTCAATCTTAGCCCCGTACCTCCACGATTTCAATATAGATGTATTCGACACAGGACTAATGATGCACTGGATCAAAGTGGCTGATCAGGAGATCAAAAACGATGTCAAATCGGTTCTGAAAAGTTTCGAAATGGAGCCATCTTACGTTCCCCTCTCCTTCGAGCATTTCAAGTGGTTATGGACTCTACTTGGTATTTCTTACGCTTTTTCAATAATGGTTTTTATAATGGAAATAATCTGGGCTAAGAGCCAGAAATGAGGAAACCTTTCGCATTCTTTTTAATAGTAATTATATTGCTTTGAACTATAAATTCAATCACACGCACACGCTAAAAATATTTAACTCTCGCTTCAATTAATTAAAGCTTTTTGAATTAAAGTATGAATGTATTTACCTGTTTTAAATAAATATAAAAGCCACGCCGACTATTTCTCTAAAAGCTTAAGATTATTGTAAAGATGTTGATAAAGTTTGTATTAACTTAATGGACTTTGCAAAATGCTTCGGCTGTAGGATCCTAATCAAAGGACAGCTGCCAGTTTAAAAGTACGCCAGAATATTTTTCCATTACCAAAGGAGGAACACTTAGAAGAACACTTAGTTTAACCGCAGCACTTCTTGAAAGTGGAACTTCAGCATGGACATATCCGCCTTGTTCTTAATCGTTTGCCTAACTCGAGTTTCGGCTGATAGTTCCCAGTTGGAATTCCTTGACAAACTAATGCAAGCCATACAAAAAGAAAATGAAATCAAAACAATGTTGATACTGCAGCCACTGTCGCCTACGAAATGTGATCTTCAAGATTGGAACAACGAATTACCAACTTTGCGATATAACGAACTGGCCAGAAGCGAGATACAAAGACACTTTAATAGATGGGCAATATGCCTGGTCTGCATTTGCCAGGAATCGGACATTGGTTATCTCGAAAACGTGGCCGAGCACTTTGAAGGAATGCGACAGGCACGGATTTTGTTGTGGGTGAAAATTAACGTCACGCAGGAGATGACTGAACAGATTCTAAGGCAAATTACCAAACATCAGTTTTTCCAATTAATTATACTGGAAGCTAGAGACGGAGAGCCCGTTCAAATTCGCCGTCTCGAAGCATTTCCAACACCTCACATGGTTCCGTTCGTAAATACAACGGGCGAAGGCGTTTTCCTCAAAGGAGGTGGTATAAACTTTATGGGCAAAAGAGCCAATGTCCTGCCCAACTGGGAGACGCCTCTCAAGCTCTACACTCCAGTGAGCAGCAACGTGTCAGTACCTCTTCAACATGTCCAAGACACCGAGATCATTTTGTTTGCCAAGAAATACAACTTGAGTCTCGAGATCATGGGGTCTGAGGAAGATAAGCTCGGTGGCCCTGATGATCAGACACCTGACATTCGCCTCACCTCCGAGTTGTCAACCCGCACTGAAGACTTAACAAATTTAAATCCGTTTGACCTTTATTCGTTAATGGTGATGGTTCCCTGCAGCAGAAGGAGATCGGTTCATGAGATCTTCGCACAGTTGAATTTGCAGTCGTGGGCTCAGTACATCTTACCAGTCTATGTCGCCTTTGTGGCTGTGGAAACCTTTATACTGGTTGTCAACCAGCGAATATACGGACATGCCTACCACGTTTCCCTGCTGAATCCGCTTATGAATCTCCGAGCCTTCAGGGGAATTCTGGGCCTGTCATTTCCCACGGGCCGCAGAACCAGCCCTTCGCTCCGTCAGCTCTTTCTGTCCATCAGCGTTTTCGGCGTGGTCTTCAGTAACTACTTCAGCTGCAAGTTGAGTGCTGTCCTCACAATGAACTCACCCCATCCGCAGGTGGAAAACTTTAAGGATCTGAGGGAAAGCGGCTTGCCCACTGTGGTCTCCCATATCACTAGGGACTACATTACAAGAGAGGTGGACATCAATTTTTTCAACCGAACCATACCCAACACATTGTCTGTGGACAAGATGGATCACGTGATAATGACGCTCTCCCTAAACGACTCCTATGCCTACATTATCTCAAGTGAGAACTGGAACTTTATAAAGAACTATCAGCATGCTTTCAACCGGAAGGTTTTCTGCATTTCGAATGACCTGGTAATCACCCACGGAGTACCGAAAAAATATGTCCTAGGCAACAACTCCCTATTCGACTGGCCGCTTTCGAAATTTTTGTTAAAGGTCCAAGAAGCCGGAATCGCAACACATTGGATAAAGGAGTCGCCTTACCTTATCCGAAATGATCTTAATCTTACCGTACGTCCGAATCGCGAATTTGGGAATGTTCCAATATCCGTAGTCGATCTTAAGTGGCTTTGGTTTGTTCTTGGATTTGGCTACGGATTATCCACTCTTGTCTTTATCATAGAGCTATCAATGAGACGTCGAGAAACTAAAAACAAGACCCCAAAAACAAGGCAAGACGATTCCTTGGCATAAAATTATCATATATAAAATTATTATATATAAAATTATTATATATGAAGTTATTATATATTAAATTATTATATATAAAATTATTATTATCTAATAATCTTCACAAAAATATTATCTTCATGTAACTGTTTCTTCTATTGCACTGCATTTTCGAATAAATAAACGTTCTTAATTACACTCCCGTTTTTACTGTATAAATGGCAACTGCCATAATTCATTTTTATACTCTTTTTAAGTAATCTCTAGTCCCACAAATATGAAATATTTTTATTGCTTTGCAATGGAATAATCAAAAACAAGTTATGAAAACATTCAAATCGCTTAGATTTAATTTCGCCAGCTGGCAATGCGAAACACATTTACTCTGCGAATGTTGTTCCACATTTGTGGGTCAGCTGGCCCGGTCGTTCCCGCTCCATTTGTTTGTGCAACAATTGAGATCTGCGACGGGGCAACCGTTTCCATTTGGCCACTGATCGACGTCGAGTGGGCCGGCAGTGCTTAAATCTATCGATAGCAGGCGGCCGAGCGACAATTTTCCGCGGCGGCAGCAGCACTTTTCCTCGCACGGATGATCGGAGGCTTTTGCAGTCGTGTACCGTTTGCTGAGTCGTTTGGAACGCGAGCGCCGTGAGCGCCATTGTGAAAAGTGAAAAATGGATTTTCCACCCTGGGCAGTCGATGCGCTTGGGACGTCCGAGCATGTGCCGTCGCCTGTCAGCGATTAACAAGTGTTTTCCCCAAGTTTTCCCCCGCTTTCCACCGGCCAGCAAGATTTTGTAGGCGTGGGCCAAGCGGAAATGAGAAAAATTAATTTTAACAAATATTAATTGTCATTCTGTGTCACATCAAATTGAAATACGTGTGTGTGTGTATTTTGTCTAATTGCGTAAATAATCTTTTAATGTACTGTCTGTGACTTAAGTACGTCTAAACTAAACGAAGTACTGTCTAAATGAAAAAAAAATTTTGAAAAATAAACCCTTCACGTTCCTCAAGTAAGTTGGTGACCAAAAAAAAAAAAACTAAAGAAGATATATCTGTTTCAAAAATATTACAATAAAAAAATCTCAACATTTATTAGCTTTCCATAACCATTACTTAAAAGTACGTAAAAGTAACTTTGGTAATAATATTTTCACTTTTTGTATAATACTAATATATTGACAGGTGAGCTTTGCAATACCTTATTAGAAAACCTTTGAGAACAAACGTGCAATACGAAATTTAATAAATGCGTTTTGATCGCCTTCAAGGCATATTCGTATTACACATTTGCTATTGTTTGGCTTTCTGCTAAGATACACACAATTAACTCGCTCAACACCTCAAGGCGCGCATGTCGCAATCAATTTTTGTCGCCTGTCGCTGGCTTTAATAGTTTCACTAATTTTGAAATTTATTAGCCCCCCTCTCGACGAGCTTTACATATCTGTTTAATGTGTAGTAAACAGTTTTTATCACCTCCCCCGTGGCAGTGAGTCGGAAAAGTCGAGCAGTTCAGAGAGCACACTGAAATTGTTTGGAAAATCATCAGCCGCTAAGCAGACGGGCTGAAAATCTAGCCAGCTAGAAACAATATTAACCCGTCCCTGGGCGACGGCAACTTTGTGGCCGGAATGTTTTGGATCCGCTGGCTGATCTGGCATCAGTCAATGTCAGTTGGCCCAGTGCCAGGTCGGCTGTGTGGGCGGCGACAAACAAACAATGGGGCGGCACTGGCGGAGGAGGGAAAATAAATTAAATAAGAGAAATGTAAATAAAAGGGAAAGTGCCCGCCCGAAGTGCTCAGCTGTTGCACCTCGCAGAATAGCCTCTATTCCGGGTCATAACCGCACATGAAACCGAGAACACTTCATCCTCCACACGCTTTCAGCAACGATGCGTGTCATCCTCAGTTGGGAGAATAGGTTTCAAGTGGAATTCAGCCTCCACGCGTCAAGTATCAAGTGTTTTGTTATGAGCCACATTTAAAAAGCAACCAGGCAACAGTGCGTTCCATAAAGAACACTCTAGAATTTCATAAAAATGTAAAAAAAGGAATTTAATATATAAAAAAATTGTATGAATTTATTTCCTCATTTTTAATGCAATTATTCTTCTAAATTTTTTAATAAGTAGAACACCACAGATGTGAAACGCACTGTACCTAGCCAAACTAATAAATGTGTTTGCCATATATTTCCGCTCGATTGCTAACATATGTTCCAACTACAAAGGCATGCCAACCATTCGTGGCATTTTTTTGTCATATTATTTTAATTTCTATTAATTTCGCCGCCTCCGACGTTCGCCGAAAGAATAAATATTTTAACACATTTTTTATAAAGAATTTTTAATGGGTTTTATCGAGTGAGTTTCTGGGCTTATAGGTCGGGGCAATGGCATTGGCCAAGTGCAAAATTTATTACACATTCATCATTTAAGTATCATTATTTCTGTTCCTTTTATTTGTGTGCGTCTGCTTTGCCTCACGCTCGAAAATTTGTATATTTTATTTGGACTTCTGAACTTGCGTAACAATTGGCAAGAAATTAAATTTAAATTTAAGAGTAACATAATGTCGATGCCATCTGGTTGAAGGCTGTAAACTTGATCGACTTACAAAGTAGGTCAGGGTTCTCACTTAATAAGCTTTAAGCTTTTAATTAAAGTGATTTTTATATTTCTAAATTGATTTCAATATCCCATATAGAAATTTCCATTTCCTTTCCATTATACTCGAATGCATCATTTCCGTTTTTGAATTTCGTGCCAAAAGTAAGAGCGTCATGCACTTGACCAGACCGAAATCATTTGGGATCCCCCTCCACCAGCTTTTTTCTTTAATTTTATACTTGTTGATCATTTGGAGGCGTTTGGGTTTAGTTTATTTTTAAATTAAATTCGGGAATATGTGAAAATTGCGCATCTGACTTTGCGTGAAATCCAAATTGTTCCTCGAACCATAAATTTTACTGCCGATTTTCCTGGAATAATTCACATTTGTTTTTTACTGATTGAAACGAATTATCATGTTTGAGTTTTGTGATATAAAATTTTAATTCTTATATCCAGCTTATTTAGCTATCAATCTTTAGAATAATTTATTACCTTGATCTGGCGCCTGATTTTGCCTCATTTAAGGTGACGTCAATGAGAGCCCTACGAGAGAATCTTTTCCAAATAGATATAGATATTTTTAGCTATATTCCGCCGATTCCGCGTGCGATTCTTCTTTTTGTTGTATTTCATTTTATTGCTGCCTTTAATTGGTTCGTTTATGTGCGGAATGGAAGAGAGCATCCTGAACTTGAAATAGAATCACGGAAAAAGAGAAAAAAGTGGAGTTTTGCGGTGTAGAGGAAGTTGTACGAGGATTATGATGTTGTGCTCGGTGCATCTAGATTGGTTTATTTTTGGTCTGCTCGCTGCAATTTGAACTTTGGCTGGGACAGAAAGACTAATGACTAAGGAGTGGCGCTGACTCAACTGCAGATCTTCAAAGGGCACTGGAAAAAATAGGGCTACGGAAAATACAATATTTATAATGGCATACTTTTAGGGGATATCTAAAAAATGTATAAAAAGTGAGCTTAAATATTCATCAAATAATGTTCCTAAATTCTTGCAAGCAAATGTGAAAGTCCGGATTATAATAAATTTATTGTGTCAAAAGTGCGGGGTTTTCCAAATCAGCAACCTTTGTCAATAAATATTTTCCCTTTTTCTTTGGGTTTACTCAAATACTGCACATCTGTCGAATTCTCCAATCTGAGCAATGGCTTTCAGCAATGAGCGTTCTACAATTAGCAAGTTGTTGCTGCCCATCGGATGACACATAATGACGCATTGCCTTGGCCACAACAATAGCTGCCGCTTTCTATCCATCAATTAATATTCATAAGCAATTATCAAAGCTCACCATAAGCATTGTATTTAACTTGGAGTGTGTGTGCCAGTGTGTGTTCTTCTGAAAGATAATTAAAACAAATTATGCCATGTGTCTTTTTGTCGCAAGTGCACTTTAAACAATTATTTTAAATCATTGTTAATAATAATTGATGGGTAGAAGAAGAATTTTAGTAAAATATTTTCCTTAATTTATAAATCATATCCCATTCTTTTTTGTTTCAATTGTGAGGTTTAGATTATGATATATTGTTTAGTTTTTTTGTAAGTGCACTCATACGCCTGCTAGTACTCACACACGCCGCAATGTTGTTACTCATATTTGTCCAGCATTGTCATCATCATAATGATCTCGATGATGATTACCATCTTGATGGTTGGCGAATCGCATGAAGCGCTGACTGAGCGACAGTCGCAGTTTATCCGCCGGCCAAGTCGAATCAGTGAATCCGGCAAAAGAGCTGAGCGCGTGCGGGTAAACGAAATAATGGCACTTAACCCGCCCACTTATCAGTCACCGAAAGTAATGTAAAATTGTAAAATATTTTCGACAGGTTGAAAGCATTTAAAACACAACAAAATACGAAATAATTGCCATAATACAACGATTTGTTTATTAAACGAAAGCACACACAACGAAAACAAAACGAAGGGAACAAATGGATTTAGAAATAGAGGAGAACTAAAATATCAGAGACATCGAAGAGCACCAAGAGAAAGGCGAATATGTTCAATTTGCTGCGGAGATCGCGTCGTGGAAAAACGCACAAGGCGCCAGACAACGACATCGTCGACGAGGAGGACAGATCGGTGAGATATAGCCGGATCGGGGAACTATCCCATACTCTTAGCCAAGAAGAGCGGCCGGAAAGAGCGCGACGGGCGGTGATCGAAGAGCTGGAGGACTTTCCTAGCGACTTTGACGACGGCAGCGGCGACGAAGAGCGTTTAAAATTAGCAAAAACAGCTGCTAATGGCCGCTCCGACAATTTGAATATAAATAAATTGGGCGGAGATGCGAGGACGAGGACGGGTGCCTCTTGCGGTGATCGAAATGCGGCTCGCGGCAGTCAAAACGAGGCAGCCAGCGCGATCGTGAGCACCAGCGTTGGTGGTCAGCTAATTGCCACTATCGATGATCCATCGCCACTAGCCGTGATCCATCGCCATCGCAGTGAAAGCGACCAGCAGAAGCGCCAGTCGCTGCTCTCCTTGGGCAGCCTAAAGTTCGGTAACAGCAAAGAAACTCAAAGCCCGGAGACAGAGCCGAAGAAGCGGAAAACTCTGCAGAAGAGTCGCGACTTCCTCAGCGACATTTTCATGGCGCGCGGTCGAAACCACCAGCGTCAAAAGCAGCAGCAACAGCAGCAGCAAATCTCCACCGCTGGCAAACCGAATAAATCGAATAAAAGTAATGCCAAAGACGTAATCGCCGTACACCTTGAAACGAACTCCGACCCCGCGCTCGCATCCCCGACCACTTATCAAATGACTTTGGCTAATAATAGCCCAGAGAACGTCGGCCAGCGAAGAGTCGGCCAAGAGAAAAGTAACGCAGCTGGAGTGCGCGAAGAGCTGGCGAGTTTTCCCGCCACGCCAGAGAGTCCGCCGAGATTTCCGCCAGAGATCGCGCCGGAGAAGGAAAACGAGCCGAGAGCCATGCGTTCCTCGGCCATTCAAGCGGCAAACGTTGAGCGGCCAACAGCAATCGGCGAACAGCAACCGCTACCGCCGGGCAATGCAATTGCCGCCCCGCAGCAACATCTGGCCGACCAGCAGCAACATCAGTTGAGACAGCAGCAACATCAAGCGAATCAGCAGCAACATCAAGCGAATCAGCAGCAGCAGCATCAGCAACATCAGCCAGAGCAATTAAGTGACATAACAATGGGCCAAACCAGTGCCAAACCGAACGAAATCAGTTCGGCCCACAGTTCGCGGGCGAGTACGCCGCGTGATTTCCGTGAGTCGGTCGTGAGTGCGCCGCAAGCCCCGCCCCGCCATCAAAAGTCCGGACCGGAAGTGCCCAAGATCACGGTGGAGGACTGCAGCTTCCCGGAGGAGAAGGAGGAGAAGCCCGCCAGGTCACCGGAGATATTCTACGAACTGAACGAGCCCGCGGAGAACTCCCTCAACATCGAGGAGCTCAACGAGGCGCACATCGAAACGCTAGAGGACGAGGTCTTCGCCTCGGACATACCGGCCACCATCTACCAGAACTCGAGCAGCCGTCCCTGGACTCGCCTGAGTCATGTGAAGCTGGAGAATGTCCAGGAGGAGGCCGAGGAGGAGGAGGAGGAGGCGGAGGAAGACATGGACGAGGTAGACGAGGCAGTGGATCTGGACTACGAGCCTCCGCTGGGCAGCAATCCGAACAACGGAAATTCCCGGCAGTCGGCGAGCAGCGAGAGGAGCGCCCTGAAAAGCGACTCCAATCTGAGCAGCAGCTACGCGGACTCCGGGATCGGGGAGCAGGAGATAACCACTCCGCAGCAGCCGCCGCAACCGCCGCCGCGGAGCTCATCGCACATGGCCACCAACCAGAACCAGAACTACAACCAGAATGCGAGTGCGAGCCACGCCTTCATCCGCGATGGAAATTCCACGGATTGCGAGGAGACCTTTCTGCAGTGCGACGAACTCGACGACATCGAGCGTTTCAGCGAGTTCAGCGAGCGGCTGGTCTGCATCGAGAGCATCAGCCTGCCGGATGTGGTGGTGGAGTCAACGACCGCCAGTGCAACCACATCGGCAGCAGGCGGAACACCAGCGGCAGCCGGGATGACAGCAACGCCATCTGCAACCACAAACGGCGCTAACGAGGCGCAGATCAACATCAACGTGGCCAACGGGGCGGGAGGCAACAGCCTGGGCAACGTGCATTTCATACCCATCCACGTCGAGGGTCGCAGTCGCAGCAACAGTCCCAAGCAGCGCAGCAAGGACGACAGCTGCCTCGGCCAGGACATGACGCCCTGCATCGAGATCGTCGAGGATGGCAGCATTCTGAATAAGCCAGTGCGCCAGGAGAGTCCCTTCGACAACCAGGAACTCAGGTAAGTTAAAAACAGAGGGATTGTGAATACAAATAGAAAATATTTGGTTGCTAGATTTATTTTCCAAACAACATATCAGGAAATGATCAAGATATAAAAGTATCTGCGTAGCCACTGTGACGTATACTTGATATCCGTTGCTAATTCGAACAGCTGCGACATCAAGTACGCCGTATTTTATTCAATCGCAGCCGCATGCCAACAATTTCACCATTAACATGGCGAGATGCAGCCAATTCGTCTTGATCTTTGTGTCATGGAACACGCCTTGTGATCTGGCTTTTTTTGCCGGGAAACCCGTCAGCGGAAATTTCCCTCTCCCGCGACTTTCGTGTTTTCGCCAATTTGATTGGCGTTGAGTTTTCCAGTCAGGGACGATTATTTTTAAACGGATCGGAACCCATAAATTCTATACAGAATTTGATTTCTCAAAACTTGTGTGGCATCTGCCAATTAATCCACACCAAGCAGATGATGAATACCGAACAAGTAAACAACCTTTGAAATATCATACTTTTTTCAATGAAAGCTGTGTAGTTTTCATTGAAAGCCATGGAAAAGCGAGTATGATCTGATGGAAGGTGTCAAAGCCATCGTTTGAAGTAATCTGCCTTGATGGACAATTTCCCTTCGCAAAGTGTTCTGTACGAATTCTATAATTGTTGAGCCAAATTCCTTAGAAAATCCCACTTGTTTTGGCTTGGTCTCCCATTACGTATACGCAATGTGGCATTTTTGGTGGCATTGTTTGGCCTTCGCCGATATGACAGATTATGACAGCCGTGCGGCAAGTGTCTCATAGCCAAATGGCGACAATTATTCCGACAATTTATATTTACGTAGATTTTCGTGTTTCGATAATAAGCATTAGGTTTGTGTTCAAAATCAGTAGTACGGCGGCAAAAATAAATTCACTTCGTCATTTCTCGTTTAGCTTTCTTCCCCCTTAATTTGCAATTTTTGTTGGCAACATGTTGGCCGTTTCCCACGCTTGTTTTTTGTGAGCCCTGCCAGGGGGTATATTCACTAGGACTGAAAAATATAAAATATATATACTGAAGATTTAAAAAATTTTAAAGACTTAGAAAACATTAATTGGCTTACATTATCTGTATTGAACATATTTTATTAAATGATTTAAATAAAAGCCCGGTTTCAAGAGTATCCAGATCTCCGACTTATGCACATTTAAGAATTCCTTCCTCAATCATATTTTCTCATGTGCACAGAATACGATCTGCCTGCTCTAGATTTATTCGGCTTGCTTATTTTAGACGCTGTGCAAAAAAGACAAGTAGATTTTGAAGCGTTCATATTTAGAGCAAACTGGCGAGGAAATGGATAAGAGGGGGCGTGCACTTGTGGAATTTTATTTGGGTTGTTCTTGATTTTGGTGGATAATTGATTGGGCATACGGGAGGGAGGCGCATCCTCCGTTGCTTGGCCAGCATTGAAAGATTGTTTATTCCGCCGACACATGCGGCGTATGCGTAATTTGCCTCGAATAACTAATGGGCATCTCTGCCGAAGCTTCGGCTGCTGTTTCCTCCCCTTCATCACCCGTTGTTTATCTAATCCGATTTAATTATCAACTTGGGCATAAACAACAACGAAAGAATCCAAGCATTCGCCTCGGAAAGTTCACAGGCACCGGCAGAGATGCTCTTGCCAAAAATAATTGAAATAACTTTCAATCTAAGTACACGAGTTGCATCTGTCCTTTGTGCATCCATCCCAGCCGCACTCTCTAAATCTCGGTCTATCTTTATCTCCGACTATCTCTAGAGACAAGCGAGGAACGCGTGTCACAAAATTTGATAAATTCACATTGTCTTTACCCAACGTATGGGCCATAATGTGGACGGTGCGAGAAATTAATTGTAAAGCCAATCGAAATAGTTTCTGGAACTTTAAGATTACCCCAAAACATTCTATGAGCTAATAGATTACAAGGTTGTTTATTATATTTGAAAAATATAGAAGCTCTTTCAGTGTTTGTTAAAGTTATAAAAGAAGAACTAGATTTAGTTCACCAAATAAATTCGATGCCGTATTTTCTTATTGTTTATTTATTGTTGTTGTAAAGCCCTATCCGCTTGACACTATTGAAACGCACTGTATCTGTTGCAGAGAGCGACAAAGAGTTGGCAGAATGCGCGAACAGAAACAACGGAAAATCGTTGATTTAAAAATAAACTTTGCGCATTTTCGCAGCAACCGAGAATCGACTAGGATAAATTCAATTAAAACGTATTTCATTTTTGCGTTGAGAAGCCAAAACAAAACAAAGCACTGGCAAATACATATTATATAAAAGTGTATCTGTATCTTTGTCTGCGTCGTGTATCCGCAGCAATACCTGCACATATTGTATCTCAACAAATTATGGTCGAGGAAGACGTTGCCACTGTTTTTACACCCCATTCACATTTAACGAGCTTTTCCATTCAAATTACGTCAGGCCGATGTCTAGCTATAGGTATAAACGCTGGGACAATAATATAACAACAACAAAAAATATAATAATAATAATTATTTTCCTGCGGCTTTGCTTCTATTTATTTATACAATTCGTGCTGCGTGCGCGGAACACGTTTGTGATTCATTTTGTTTGTGTTGGGGATTATTCAGTGACAAGATTTGTTTGAAAAATTCGTCTGACAGTTGAGCTGATCTGTCTAGGGATTTATTTTCCTATTCCGAATATTACTCATCCCACCACTTGCTTTCCCAGAAAGGAGCTGAAACAGCAGAAAGCACGATTCGCCAGCCAATTGGACGAGGCCCACAAAAATGCCAGTCAACTGGAGGCCAAGTTGGCCGACACGCAGTACAAGATCCAGAAACTCGAACAGGAACTGTCCGTCAAGCAATGGAATGTGGAAAGTAAGGATAACATTTTGGCATATCATTTTTGAATGTCTCTTAACTAAAATTCATACTTTCCAGGACTTCAGAGTGAACTGAGTGCTGCCCACAAGGACGATGAGTATGTGCGGAAAAAGCTAAAGCTTCTAGAGGATGAAAAGGTCCACCTACGGCACAAATACAGCGAAAACCAAGATGAATTCCAGATTAAATATGGTAGGTACTCAATCTTCCTTAATCAGTTAAGCTAAATAATTATAAGTATTTAAATATGCAAAGAAATTTGTAAATATAATTGAACTTTCTTTTTTAGACGAACTTGAAGCTCGGTATAACGAACTCACAGAGAAGTACAAACTGACCCAGAGCCTGGCCAAAAGCCTGCAAACCCAACTGGCCTGCGCCCAAGTGGAGGCTCAGGAATGGCGCCAGCAGGTGGAGAGGATCAGTGCGGATCTGGAGGAGCAGATACGCATCCTGAAGAACGCGCTGGAGAACTCGGAGGCGGAACGCAAGATCTGCGAGGACAAGTGGCAAAAGGAGTTCGAAATGCTCAGGACACACAACAGAGGTGAGGTGTAAATCTTTATTTATAAAATATATTTATATTTATTTATATTTATTTATATTTATTTATATTTATTTATATTTATATATTATATTTTATAGAACGCGAGGAATCCCTGATGACGGACTGCGAGTGGCAGCTGCGGCAGATGCAGCGGCAGTGCAAGGATAAAATGGACAAGAGCAACTACGAGCGGAAGCAGGCGACCGCCAAGGCGGAGGAGCTCGAGCTGGAGCTGAAGTCGAAGCGCAAGGAGTCCGAGCTGCTCCGCACCTGCCAGGCGCAGGTGAACTCGCTGAGGGGCGTGGTCAGCGAGCAGGAGCAGTCCATCCAAACCCTGATGGACCGCATCGAGAACTTGAAGGGCGACCTGCAGTCGGCCAACGAGAACCTCGAGGCCCAGATCGAGGCGGTGCACAAGATCAAGTATCAGTGCGACAAGTAAGTGTATCTTAAGAGAATATCAAAGGATTTCTTAGTAGTTAACAATGCCTTTTCAGTGCCATCTACGACAAGGAGCGTCAAATGATCTACAAAATCGATGAGGTGCGCAACGAAGCAGCCGCCTTCTGGGAAAACAAACTTTAGTAAGTACTTAAGTTACCAATTTTCTATTTTGATTACGATTTTTGGAAAGAGAAACAACCATTTGGTAGAGGTAGTGTTAGAGGGGTGTCTCACAATCTTTTAGAGGTACTCCAGTCCAAAATCTGACATCATTTAGAACAGTTGTGGATATTTAGAGATACACAAGCCCAAAGTCTGGCTTCATTTCGAGAAGTTCAGCTTTGCATGTTTATGAATCCTATTTTGGGGATAATTTAATTATTTTTCCAAGGCTTCTTCCTCGGATATTTTAACAATACACATTTTTTAACAACAGCACAGAGATGACAAGACTGACAAATGAACTGGAGTCCGTGTACGTGGACGAGCGCCGGGAAGCGTTGGATAAGCTGCAAAACGAGCACATCGAGGAACTGCGGGCACTGACCAACAGATACACGGCCAACGAGGACGAACTTCGAGCTGAGGTAAGCTCTCCTTGAAAATAAACCAATGAATTACCGAGTTGAAATATAAAATCCCCCAAAAGATTGAGGATCTGCACGAGAGCCTGGAGCAGAAGAAGGACGACTTCCTCAGTCTGCGCGAGCGTTCCGACAACGCGCTGCTCCAGACCCGCATGCATTTGGACAAGGCGGACCGGGAGTACCAGAACGCCATGTGCCGCGAGGAGGATCGTCGCGTGGAGCTGGAGGAGAAGCTGAAGCGGGAGTTCGAGGCGGAGAAGGCCGAGATGGAGGAGCGGTTCCGCGAGCGACTCGGCCAGGTGAAGGAGGAGTTCGCCAAGGAGCTGCAGCTCTCCACGCAGGACATGGTCGATACTCATCGCAAGGAGCTGGGTAAGTCTGTCGATTCTATTCTTGATATGTATTTAACGTATCTATAATTGTTTCCTAACATTCAACAGACTCTCAGAAGGCCAAGTTGCAGGCGGAGAAGGAGGAGGCGTTGCAGGAACTTGTGGAACGACATCGCGCGAAAATGGCAGCTGCCGATGAACGAATCAAGTGAGTGGCTGAGTATGGCTGAGTGGCATGCCCCGCCCAGTAGTTATGTAAACCAGATAGTACCCCCTCCCCCCACTGCTCCCCACTAAATTGCCCGAGGATCCAACGGCTAATTACCATTGGCTTGCATTGAATGTCCGCATCCCACTCATCATTTGCCATCCGTCAATCTGGAGACCTCGATCTCGACTCATTATCATACGAACTTGTATTCTGTTTCCCTCGTTTCGTTTCACATCCATTGGATCAGCATGGATCAGCATTTAGGGCGGTCGACGACTACCTCTCCGGCCCTGTGGGCGTTGGCCAAGGGGGCGTGGCCGTATATGCCGACGCTATATGTGCTTTATCTGACCATGTCGCCGCTGATCGCCCTCGCATGCTTGTTGTTCAATATTGTCGCTGTGCTCTATATCAAATACCGTCACCTCCTAATGCAGAAATAAAATTATAATCCTTTATTAAGCTTTAAATGATCCCTGATTGAATATGAAAGTCTCTAGGGATTCTAAAACATTGGTTTGGTGATTAAAGTTAAAAAAAGTAGTTTGAAATACTAAAGATTAATTTACATCAATATCCAGATAAACATTCATAATTACCATTGACTGACTTAATTCACATTTGTAGTATTTAAAAATCAGATGAAAAATAACAATATTTTTGTTTAACTAAATCACCTTATTTAGTGTTTTTAAATCTGTAGAGTGTTTCAGTTTTTTTTTTTTCTGGAATGCAGCTTGTCAAACTCTGCCCTTTCGGAACGATTCTCTTAATATTTTACTTTTTCTTTCTCGCTATGTGTGTGTATCCACCTCAACCTATATCTGCCCACTCTATATAACCTGAATAACCTAAAACCAAAACCAAACCCAAAACCAATATCCGCACTCGCATCCGCATCCGCAGCGATGTGGAACTTCGGCACCAGCGCAACCTCAAGGACCTGAAGGCGGCCTACGATGCCGAGAAGGCGGCGCTGGACAAGCGCGACATCAGCAACGCCAACGAGATCGAGCAGCTGCACCGCAAGTGCCGCTGCCTGACCAACCTGTAAGTGCCCCCACCGCCCAGAGCCACCCACCACCCACCAAGTTCCCAAAGTCTGGTTCTTTAATGTAAAATAAAAAACATTTTAAATTCATCTAAGTTTGTGATATATTGTCTTAATAAATTCCAAAAAATTGTACTCTACTTTCCCAAATATATTTTACCTGTGTAAAATGTAAATTTTAATTTGATTTTACTACTATCAAAAATGGATTTAAGAACTTGACTTGAACTCTTTGAATCTTTTCCCTATAGAAAATCTTATCTTTTGCTTGTCCGTGTTGTGGGATGTTGTACACTAAGTCAGTATCCATTATCCGCTTTGATTTACTTACTGTACCTCTATTTTCAACTGAAATGGTTTTGAATTATTTTCCCTAGGTTCGAGGAGATGCGAATGCGCTACGAAAGGCGGGATCCTCGGGCCGAGGATCTGCGCGAGATCTCCGAACTGAGGACCCGATGCGAGAGCCAGGAGAGGGATCTTTATGTGCTCACCGATCGCCTGCGCGAAATGCAGATTCAAATGTCTGAGATGCAGCAGAACGGCGATCGGAAGGGCGGTGGGAAGTCGGTGAAGAAACCCCCGCCCAAATCGATAGCCACCAGCTGTGACGTCATCTACGAGGAAAACGAAGAGCGGGAGTCCCCGGAGCAGGAAAACGGGGAGCACTCCTCCCAGGGGGACAATGACGAAGAGGAGGAGGAGGAGGAGGAGGAGGGAATCGAGCAGGAGCCCAGCGACACGGAGTCAAATCACACGATCGAGGTCAATGGAAAATCCGATCGGATCAACGAAGACGACGCCCATTTAATCACCGCCGTGTGATCAATAAATAACTCTCATGTATCTTCCGAATTTGTGGCTGTATTTTTCGAGATCCCCAGGAGTGGACTTCCCAGGACCAAGGATGTGTGATCCCGGGTGCTTTGGTGCTTTTTGTGCTGCCCTCTGTATCGCAGGATACGGAAATCGACCCACTCAACAGAAAAAAGAAACGCTCAAAGCTTGAACTCATAAAAATTGTAAATGAAATTTCTGAATTGGTTTTTGAAACCGCTAAAAAAAAAAAGAACGAAATAAATGTAAATATTTTTAACTAACACTCCTTTAAAACTCTTAATTTACGGGTTTGTTTAGTAAATAGTTAGGCAATAAGTTTGACCTTCGGTGTTTTCCTTTTCTCAAGAGGTTTTTACATGGTTCTTAAACTGATCTTGTCTACATTTACATTAGCATACTTTTGGGCACCCACTTGAGTAGCAAAAAGTATAAGTGGGTACCGTGAAAAGAAATTTAACTTTACTGCTTTATATGTGTTGCACGCAATAACCAGATGATATATTATCCATATAATTGGTTACTCTTTTAAAATAGATCCTAAATATGTTTAAAACGAGAGATATTTTGTACATGTAATTTTACATGCAGCAGCCCAAAAATCACTTTGGTTCTACATACGCTCTCTCAAGGAACGATTCCCGCTCAGTTGTGGTGTGATTGCGCCTGCGCAGTACAAAAATACCAGAATACTTATGGAATATCTTCTCAAAACCACTGTTTCGAAGCAAAACAAACATCGACAGTCGCCATCAATATTTTGATCGGTGTCTTCATCTTTTCCTTTGCCATTTCTCTGCTTGCAGAACAAAAATTTTGAATCGTACTGTAACGATAGTAACAATAACCGATATCGATGTTCTTATCGATGTTTTCATCGAACAACCTTCACCTCCATCGCCATATGAATTCGAACTGTGTGAGTGCCGCTGTTCTCTCTCTTGCTTTCTCGTGTTCAGTCCGTTAACGTTCGGGTGGCTCTCTCAGGCTCGGCTCTCTCGGATTATGGGGTTAGCCGTTTTGGTTAACGTTGTCCTGTATTCACCCGTTTGGGAATACGTAGTCCAGCTTGGAAAAAGCGCCCTCCAGCGGACGAAACAGACCGCTTAAACGTTGGTGCTCAGGGTTTGGGATTTTAACGGACTGGGGGACCCGATGGGACCTTAGTATAGCCTCGCACTCTCGATGGTAGGTTGTTCGAATTTCTTTCACCTCTCAATTTTCAATTTTCAAAAAATTGTTGGGGCGTTCGGACGGCGTCGCGCATTGTCGCAGAAATTGGTTGGGTTTACGTGTGTTGCAGAGCCATGAACAAGTAAACATATAGGCAATTGTCGCATTGCAAATTAAATTTTTATAAGTATCGCAGAACCGAAACAGCGGTCTACAAGAGATTTTAACGAAATGGGTCGGTTTCGAAACCCGTGGAAAACTCGCGTGAAATACTGAAAAGCCGGTAAAACTGCTGTGGGAAAACTGTTGTGCGATAACCGGAGCAAGTGTTTTGTAAACGAAAACGGTAGCCATACGAGCCATTTAATACGCATACAAGCTGACCAACAACCAATAACCATTAACCATTTACCATCAAGAAATCGTGATAACAAAACGGAGGCCGCAATTTTTTAATTTTAAACGTCGTGTGTGATCCTTTGGCAACAACAGCAACAAAAAAAAAAAACGAGTACAAGCAATTAAGATGCATTTAAAGGATTTACTGTAGTTGAAAAAACAAACAATACAAGGTCGTTAAGGTCAAACGATGCAAGTGACAAAATCAAAATTGGAGTAAATAAGAGAAAATGTTGAGAAAAGGAGATACATTCCTTCCCCGCGCCGCGTAAACCAACGGTAAATCTTTCGAATTGCGTGTCTGTGTGCGTGCGTGTTTGAGTGTGCGTTTTTTGGTTTTGTTTTCGTCTTCTCCTTGCGTTTTCTCCACCTTCAACTTTCCTAATTTCTTCTACAAAATCGAAAAAACGAAAAGTAAGTGCCGCAACTCTTATTCCTTCTCTACGTGTTATTGTAAAAGATTTACAGCATGTGTGTGTGAGGGAGATTTCGTGTGCGAGTGTGTGTGTGCAGCCTCCACCAAGCGCCGCATTTAAAGGATATTCCTAATCCGTTTTATTGATTGCAGGGCAAAAGGAGATGAAAAAAGCAACAACAACTACACAGCTGGAGAGCTCAAATTGTGTGTGTGTGTTTAGTTGTTGTTCTCGCAATCTGTGCCGCTTTTTTATGTTTTTATTCCCTTCTCGTTTCTACTCTATCCTCACCCTCTGGGGTTGTAGTTGTTGTTGCTGATTTTGTAGTGCCTGCTGTTTTCGTTCCTTCTTTCTTCGTCTCTTCTAACTCTGGCTCTTTGCCGGTTTTTGTTGTTGCTGTCCACGGATTTCCTGACAAATGTTAACCCTTTCATGCCCACTGTTGCCTACAGGCAACATTGACTTTTTGAAGTTTAAATCGGTTACGATTCAAAATTTTTGTGGATTTTTTTTTATAGGCGATTCCCCTTATTAATGTTGTTTAATTTTTGGTAATTTTGGCGAATGCAGCTGCAGCGTGTGCTGAGTTATCACTTATGATTCTAAGCGACCACAGCTGCCGAAAAATTTTACCAAAAAGTGTCCGTGCAAATAGTGCGATTAACTAAAATTAGTGACAAATACTAATAAAATAAGTACGTACATATCTTTAAAACAGGTAAGACTATGATAAAAGTATAAAGTTGGGCTTGAAAATTGGTTTATAAAGAGTGTGGATTTTTTTAAAGGCCTAAAGGCAACATTGCAGTAAGGACATACCAAAGGACTTAGAGTATCGAAAATCGATATGAACGTTACTTGGGGTTCCTATTAATCATTTATGGCGTTAAATATTTTCTATGTGTCCCCAGATTAATTTGGGCATGAAAGGGTTAATTATTTATGCAACCGTTTCCCTTTGGTGTTTCCTTCTTGAATTGGTGACTTCCAATTATTCGAATTACAGTTTTACGATGATAATAAGAACGTAGGACTATGACTTTAGATTTCTTTTTAGATTTCCTTTCCTTCTACTATTAGGATAAACTCTAACATTTATAATGCTATAAAAATTCTGTTCAGAAAATCAGAAGTGGTTTCCTTTGTTTCTCAAATAAAATATTCATTAATTAATTTGTTTTTACCTTATTTCTAACTAATTCTTCCGAATTGAAAGGCTTTTAATATTATCGAGTAAATAAGGCCTGCAAGACCTTATAAGTGAAGTGCTTTTCTAATCATCTGTCGTGAAAGTGTCAAAACAACATGCCGACTTTTGTCTCCAAAACGATTTTGTTTAAATCTCACCAGCACACCTTGTTTCGCCTTTTTTCGCGGTCGTGTTAGCCCGCTTATCTCTTCTTATAGCACTTGTACATTTTCGCCGCGTTCCATATCTCTGTGAATAACTTCATCAGAAAATTAAGCGAAATATGCCAGGCACCTGCCCCCGTGGGCATAACTCAATAATCACATCAAATGTCCCCACTGGACCGCCTCGCACCCTTTGGCCCCCATTTCCTGGAGTCCAGCAGCAGCGGCAACACCTCCTTAAGAGGTGTGTCCAGTCCCCTTGGTTTCCCCACCTGGCCCCCCGGATCACAGATCCCCAACCTCCCGGCTGCCCAGCTTTTCAGTTCCCCAGCTAATGCCGCACAGCTGCGCGCCATTTAAGTCGCTGACAAGTGTTTTGCCGGCATCTCGGGAATGCGATGGATACGGCGAGTGGAGGCCCTGGCTTCGGGAGCCACAGAAGCCGCAGCAAAAAGTGGCAGCCAACATTGCTACCAATTATGCGATAAGCGAGCGAAGTTGGAGCCTCTCCGCAGCAGCTGATGCTATTTTGCCTCACAATTGTGAGAAAACTTTAAGCAAATACAATGCGGGCTAGCAAATTATGAGCTTTAAGTTTCCTGCTATTTTTGAGAGTTGTTATTATCCCCATAATGCCTTTATATATTTTGCATGAAGCAATTTAATTGATTTAATTAAACATAAGCACTTAGTTGTGGGCTAACATAGTGTGATTGCATATCTCATAGTCGTCAATTACCAACAGGTAATTGATCGAAACAAAATTTACATGAAACCCGGTTGTTTTGATCATTTTGTAAGCTGCATGTACAAATAACTATTTTATGTGATTCATAAAAAATAAATTATTCCACATTAAAGAAAACGTGAGGAAGGCGTGTTGTAAAAATTCCTGTGCCCCCTTGAAGTTCGCTTAAGAAATCAAAAGCCGCAGTTCTGTGCACTCTTCCCACACTTTTCAATTAAAGACCATTTTTCGCACTTTGCCTGCAACTTCGTGCAACTTGCAGTCGGACAACGTGTTAACATGGCCAAAAGCGGTGGGAGACTCCGCCTAATGAAGTGATTAGACTGCGATTCCGCTGATGTTGTTCCTCTAAAGAGTATACGGAAAAAGCATAATAATAATGGAAAAAAAAAATGAAGTTGGATGGGGAAAACTAACAAAAGGCCGCGTGCGCGCAGCCATCAAACGAAACGAAAAGCGTGCAACTGCAACAAAAACACCGGCAAGAACAAGAGCAGAGGAATGACCTTATATTGCAACTGCAAGTCAAACAAAGGGCCGCTAATGGGTGGTATCGAGGGGGTTTCCAGGGGAAGGTAGTAGTAGGCAGTAAGTGTAAGCCAGGGTGAAGAGCGAGAACCGGTCGATGCCCATTGCAGTCCGCTCTCTGAAGCCGCGCGGCTACTGCGGGGCAATTGGGCCAAAAGCATAAAAATCAGTCAAGAGTCGCCTCCGCCAGCTCCGTTCAGCATTAAAAGCGACAAACAAACAAACAGACGGGCACTGAGCAAAATCCCCATAAAGATAATTGCGGATATAAAATTGGATTTATGAGTACTGAAATCAAAATAAATTTCTGATATAAATTCCCTTTTATCAACTTTGAAATTAAACGAAGTTGACAGAAAATAACTTTTAAATTTTACTAGAAACTCTATTATATTCAATCTCCTAATAAACAACAAAGCTGAGAATATTTAACATTTATTTATTTAAGATCTAAATTTCGTAATCAAGCCCGACTTTATTTTTCTTGACTTGAATTTTTTACCGTGGACAAAGAACAGGAGTGCAACTCCCCAACTGGGAATGGGAGCAGGAGTGGGAATGGGACTGCGGACTGCAAATGGGACTGTGACTGGGCCTCGGACTCGGACTCGCACTGGAGCTGGACCTGAAACCTGGACACTCGCATCCAAAAGGCCGCCGTGCGAGCGCAGGCAGCGCTGAAATCGATTTTCTCGCAAACTTGGCCAGGACGGGCAGCCGCAGGGCCAACAACTACTCGCTGTCCTCGGCCCTCTCTGCTCCACATTGCCTCATTCCCGTTCCCAATTTTCTCCAACTCCCGGGCCTCCTGTTATTCTGGCTGTAATGGATATGGTCGAAGCGCGCGCGGTTTTTGTACCCAAAGTCCTCCTGGGTTTAAAGGGTATATTGCGCTTGACCAATAGTAATAAAAATATTTTATTACTTTTACTTTAAACATTGTTTTTTTTGGGAAAAAACGAATAATTTACTTTGATGTTTGAACTCCGTTCAGCATTAGGGTTTGTCTTTAGTTTTGTTCTCATTTGTCAGTTTGTAATCTTGAATCTCTGGTTTTCAAATGAAAATGAAAAAATCGCAATAACATATCCCACATCCTTTTTTTTTCTCCAATTTTGCAAACTGGTTTCTCGCTTTGTGTTTAAATTTTATAGAATTTAAAACATGAACGACAACAAATAATTGCATAAACGGGTATCTCCTAGTCGAAAAGCTCGAGCTTTCCTCACTTACTGGTTAATGATGATGCTGTAAATGATGATTCCTTTGATGAGGATGATGATGATGATGCGGATGATGATGGGGATGATGTGGCGGCCACGGTTTCGCTGATTTCGCTGCTGGGGTCTGCTGGTGCAGCTAAAATTGCAAGTCAAACTGTCGTCGCTCGGCGTTGTTTAGTTGTTTTACTCGTGGCATGGCGCTGCTCTCTCTCCCGCTCCTCAAATCTCCACCTCCCCATCGCCCCTTTCTCCGCTTTGGTAATTGCAATTGCAATTTTCTCCAACTGCAAGTCCGGCTCCGACTTCATCTCCGGCTCCCGCTCTTTCTGCTCCTGGGGGTTAGTAAATCTGCAAATTGCATTCGGCTAGCAAATTTACTGGCAGCCGGAGTCAAGTCCATTGCTCTGAGTTATTTAATTTGGGTTATAAATAAATTTGTTTAAGGCAATAATTCGCCTTCTGCTCGGGGAAGGTAAAAAAGAAAAGGTTCCTGTTTAGTGTTTGTCTAAGACCCATTCAGTTAAGAGTATGTAATCAGTTTAGTACTTCTGTTAAAATTGCATTGGTGTATACTTAAAATAAGCGTTTTAATATACTAACTATGCACTGAGCGCTAACATGATACATGAATTGCAATACATCTTTAAAGCAGCATTTCTTGTTGTTATTTCATTGAACCAATTTATAATTTATTTCTGCAATAATCTGTTCTGAGTGCCAACTCACTAACGAATGGTACTAATTGAAATCATATTGCATCCACTCAATGGCAGCGGGGTTTTTCACGGCGGGCGGAGGATGGCTGTCAGAAGGCCAAACCAATTCCCGGGAAGAACAACATAATTCGAGGCCAACCGGGATGAGGGACGAGTACTATGTTATATGCAGCAGTGCAGCATCCAAGTCGAGAATTGAGAATCGAGAATCTAGACACGCAAGCAGCGGCAGCAACAGCAACAGCATTTGCATTTGGCCCGGACAGCAATTACCGAAGCTGGCTCATGATGTTGGGCTCATGATTCTCTGCTGGCCTGAAGCCTTTGCCACCTGCTAGTCTGGGAAATCTCTGGGTGTCTTCTCCATCCTTCGACCAGTCATATCTGCAACTACAGCCACAAAAATATCACAAGGGAGCAATTAAAAAAT